TCTTAATAATATAAAAACACGTATTTCGAACAGTTTTCATCTGTTCATGAGTTTACCTGGTCTGAAAACAAAAGTGTCCAAAAAATGCCTTTTTTAATTAAATGAAAATTAAAATAAATAGAAATAAAAACCAATATATTTGTCATAATATGTGTTTGGAAAAGTCCAAATATAATTTTCGTAATTTTTGCCGGCGCCATAGTAACAATTCCGTGCCGCTAGACGCCGGCAAAAAAGGCGTGTGGTGAACCACTGGGTCCCATAATACTATAATGATAAAATAATGCAATATCAATGTTTAACGTTCGATAATGAAATAAAATGAGAGTAATCTCTCTAATAAATATCATACTCTTCTGATTTACTCAAACTTATGTTTTTTTACTATGCATAATAGTAATAAATCTATTTTGATATTTGATTGCTGGTTGAGTTAGTCTGAATTTGATTGTTTTATACAGGGCTTACATTTGTTCATGCTAAAAGTTCTGTTGTCATTATTTTACTGTAAATAAAATTAAGATATCTAAGAAATCAGGAACTATTGCAAATTATTGACAATTGGAGCGAAGATGACTCATTAGTGCCAAGTGTCACTCGGCTACCTATTGAATGATAATGTTTGCCACTTGATAATGTTGCTGGTGAATCGGACAATAAAATGATTGACGATGATGGAATATCAACAAACATTATATGCGACTTTAGAATTTTGTTCCTTTTTTTTGAATTCCGTTTGTCTAATTGTGAGAGAGTATTTTGGTACTATTAAAGTTGTATACAAATCAAATGCATAAGATTATGGTGGTCTTGTAGAAATGCCTAACTAATACGTTTCGGTTATAAGCTATGAACCCTTTCTTCGGATAATGGGTATATTATCCGATTTCTGCCATACTCCGCTGAGTAATTGGAAATCAATGCATTTGTTGTAGAGGAATTATTGAGTCATTGTAAGCGTCCATTGCAACATACTGTATGATTCCGTTGAACCCATAGTAAATATGCAACGCTATTCCAGAGAGAAAAAATATGTTGGTGTTCCACAGCCTCGAGTTATCAACAGCTTCAATCGACAAATGGGTGGCGTCGATTTACATGACAATGGAGTTGGTAACTATCGTATCGGGAAGAGAAGCAAAAAGTGGTGGTGGTCATTATGGGTTTAGTTAAACACTAAATAGCCCTTTAGTAAAGCCTTGGAAACTACATTGCTTTGTCGCTGCTTCTACCAATACAAAACCGATGCCTCAGTTAGATTTCAAGAATTTCATTACCAGAAACCTTCTTCTTGCATCAGAGAACTCAATGTTCATTACAGAAGCTACCGCTTACGATGATTTGAAAAAGAAAAGTCACAGTGCAGAAGATGTTTATCATCCGGAACCGGTATGCATAAAAAACTCCCATAAAAACTCAAAATTGCCACCGCTTTATTGTTCCTACACCAAAAGCCACAGTTTTTATCTGTGAAAAGTGTTATTTAAATGGTCACGTAGAAAATTGCTTTAAAATTTTCCATGAAAATAAATAATATTACATTGATCGTAGACACGACACAAGTAAGCTTATTTCTTTCTACATAATACAGAACATATGTAATACTTCAAATATATTTTTTGATTAAAAAATATTTGAAAAGCATAAGACAATGATACTGACTTCAACATAAAAGTAACTAAATACGATATTTGCGAACAAAACACATATAAAAATGTTTATATTATCGAAGAGAGAAAAATGTGCTATGGGTCCCAGTGTGTGGTTGACCACACAGCACTTTTCCGGAAAACTACTTTTCAAAAAAAAATTTATTTATGCAGGGAATTTTTTAACTTAATAAAACTTTTCATATTCTTATTTTATATTTTTTTCACCATAAAACTCCAAGTTAAAACTTGCCTGGTACTTAATGTGTTAAAGGATACTGACATTATTGTTAAATGCTAACTTCATTATAAGGCTCATAAGTAACTTTACAAAATATACATGCATATATTTTTGAGACAATATTTTCATTTATCCAATTTATGTGACATGCAAAAGACCACTAATAGTCCAATATTTTACTCCTATTTGAACTTCGAAAACAACGAGAGTTTGATCTGTAGAGTCTAATCGTTAAACTATTATAAATACCTTATCGAATCAGAGTTTTGAAAAAATTAGTACCGAGAACATTTTATAGATACTTCTCTCACACACATCAACGATTTATAATGAGAATACGGCGAACTTCGTCACTACTCGCAGAGCACTAAATCTTATCAAAATCATATAAAGAATGTTTGTTTAGAAACATTGAACAAAACCAATAGTTCGCAGTATAAAACACTGTTTTGTAATAATAATGAAAAGTATTAAAGAACATTATTCTTTTAATACTTTCGCTAATGATTTTAAAGTTTGGATAAACACTGTTTTCTTCAAATACCTAATATTATCCGGAAGTAAGATATAAATCGCGCAATATACCAACATCTAGCCTCTCCTCAACAAGTCGACCAATAAGGCTTCTCGTGGCTAACCTGTTACTACAAATTACAGACGACGCGCCGAGCAAGGACCAGCGTAATAAGTTCTCTGCCTGAAAGTGCCTCTCTCAAAATTGTCTTCCGTAAACTTTTTAAGTTTCCGGTCATATCTTATGATTAAGGTACAAGGGGCCGATCACTCATTGTACCTGAAGCTTAAACCGATTCCCAGAATGTCTATAAGAAATAAAAATCTAAATCCAAACTTGACGACGAAAAAACGCAACTAAAATGGTTTCTGTTGGATCGCAAAAATGGTAGGCTTGCGGTCCACCAAAACTGTACATTTTCTACCTTCGATCATGTGCACAAAGTGTTTTATGACTTGGTAAATGGCAAGCAATTCTCTGTCTAAGTGCTGTATAGAGTTTGTGTCTTGGTTAGACGCTTTAAATAAAAACCGAGACGTTCGATCTGTTCGTTTCGTATGTGGTGCAATGCTGCACCTCCGTTGAGTTGCTTACATTGACGTGGAGCACTAGTTTATGATTTATGGTTGGATGTGCTAATGTACTTGCATCATAGAATGCTTTTTTGTATGTGACAAAAACGGATTCTGCATCGTCTGTCCATTCTAATTGAGTATTGTTATTCTTTGTATTGGTTCTTATAAGTTTCTGCATTTTATTCTGAGTTTCGGCTGCACCAGGTATGAAATGTCGATAGAAATTAACCGTAGCTAGAAGTTTAATAGTGTTTCTAGTCTCTACTTTGGTGGACGTAAGCTGGTTTATAGTATAGCCGAGAAACGCTACTTTTTGTTGGCCAAAGACGCATTTTGAATCGTTCAGCTTAAATCCGTACTGCTGAAATCAGTCGAATATTATGCGCATGTGTTGTTCTATGTTCTGATTCATTTGCTGAAGCGATACAGATGTCATCAATGTACCAAATCACAAAGTCCATCGGATATTGTCTACACATTAAGACGTCGATAATCATCACAAGTTCGGCAAGTCCCATCCTTTTTTTGTGACCACGTTTAATGGGCTGTCCCAGTCACTCTGCGATCGTACACATAAACTCTGTTTCAGCATTTACTCAAATTCGCATTTTGCTGTTTTGAGCTTCTGTGGATTAAGTCGTCTTGGACGTGAATAAACCGGCTGACCCGTTGTAACAATATCATGCTGGACAGCGATTTGAATTTCCTTAATTTTGTTGTAGGATGTTAGAATCACCAGTTCTTTGAATTCTTTTAGGCACTTTCCATCCAGTAGTGTTGTCTACGAGGCATTTGCGTTTGACGTCTACTATGAGACTATAGTATTCGAGGAAGTCTGGTACCCAGTATTGGTTTTTCGATTTCTGCAATTACAAACTCCCAATTGAATGTTCTGCGTAGGCCCAAGGTTAGTCTTAGTAATTTATTACTGAAAGTACGAAAAGTTGAACCATTTGCTGCGTAAAAAGACTTTAAAACTGACATTTTGTGTTTACCAATGAACGAAACTGGTAAAATGGAAAAGTCTACTCCTGTATCTTTTAAATTTTAATCGTGTAAGACTATCGGTTAAAAGTCAGCAGGATATGTGTGGTTCAGACGCTTCGTGAACCGCTACTGACGAAGCAATTTTTAGTTTCACGTTTTTATGAAATTGCATGGTGGTGCACACTTCCGTGCGTTAGTGCCGAATTTGAAATAATAATAACAGGTTGGATACCTTGCAACTCGGTATGTAGATCTGGATGGGGTTCAATTACCACGCGTAAGTGTAGCTGCTCTTGATCGTAACCTGCGATAACATTGCATTTAGTTTATTGTTTAATTTTTCGACAGATGCAATCAATAAACTAAGGTCGAATGGCGTGCTACACACTAAATTATTTGTTTTTGCTTGCACTGCCGAAACTGCATGATAGTTGCCCACCTCGAGCATCAAATCCGCCTGTTGTGCGCACTTATCTAGATTAACATCCACAATTGAGACTATGAGACTACAGCTCGAACAGCTTCAGGTAGTCGAAGTTATTTGATAGAGCTGTCCTTCATTTCACCGCTAGCCAAATTGCTCATTGTTCTGAGTAACTGGCAAGGTTTTATGTCGCCTAGCTAACACTCTTGCACCAAGCGTCGCAGCTTGCAATTTTCTGAATCGACATAATCCTGAACCAAACGTTTTTTTATTGCTTCATATTTTCCAGACAGTGGAGGATTTCAGACAATATCTGCTATGCTTTTTAACGTACTCTATTAAGGCTGCAAACCACATGATCGTATTTTGTTTGATCCGTTGTGATGTTGACATTTCTGAACTGCGCTTCCATTTGTATGAAATACAATGTAGAATCAAGTCTGATGAATGGCAGTGGTTTAACACTCATTCGGCAGATATCACGCGAGGTTTGTTCAGACACCGCTATCAATGTTTGATCACCTTCAAACTCATGGGCAGCTCCATCGATTTTCCGCATTGTGATGACGTAATAACAATAATAACGAACGTAGTTGTGAAAACATCTCTTTTCATTTTAGTTCTTAAAAGAACTTTTTTGTATGTCGTGGGTCGCCAATATAGAGATGATTAACGAATGAAGTGAAACACAACTTTTGATATTAACTTAGATTCACTTTTATTATTACTATTTACACAATATTTTACAATTTTCACTAATGAACGAATTTAGAGAGAGAGACTGCACTACTGCTGCGCACGCCTTAAGTCCAATTTTCAAACGAGATCTTCAAGCTAAAATTGCGTTTGTAGTTGAAAGACTCGTGCGCTACAATGCCAATGAAAATGATAAAGACGCTTTTCATGACAAGCTAGAGATTCAATTGCTAAAACGCCGAAGAAAGCTTGGCATCTTAATGCTAAATTTGGAGAAGTAAATGAAACTGTAGACCACGTCATTGGGAAACATGGCTTTGGTGACATGAATGACTGTGGTGGACGCCTTGTAAAGCTATGTGGTTTAAACGAACTCTAAATTGGAGGCACGCTTTACTCGCATAAAACAATTTATTAAGTAACGTAGGTAGCACCTGATATAAGAACTTAAAATCAAGAAAGAAATAAACAAGGTAATGATATCAGCTCTGATCACCACCTACTAGCTGGCAAAATACTAGTCACCCAATAATTATTTAGAAGTCAAATAGCTGTAGCAGAATCAAATACAAGGTCTCAAAGTTGAAAGCACCAAATAGAAAGCAATATTGTTCACGTTCCATTTCGGAAAAACTTACTGCTCCTACTAACAACCTAAATCCCCAACGTTGCTGGAACAAAATAAAAATAGCTGTTAATGAAAACTGCATGGAAAATTTAAGTAGAGCGTTAAATAATACCAAAGATGACTTTATCTCAGCACAAACCAGGATAATGGTAGAACAACGACCAAAACTCAAAAATGAGTTAAATACCATGAAGAAATCCAATGACCGAAAGAGACCGCAAACGGAATACACACATCTGGACAAACGTGTCAAAAAGGCAATTCGGGACGATTAGAAAGAGTTCTCTAACAATATGGTTAATAAAGCGGAAAATGCAGTGGCATCAAAAAATATGAAGAATCTCTTTGATAACATATAACAAAGAAACTAACAGCCGAAAGCGTCAAAAGAACCCTCCCCGTCAATAACCTCTCTGGTGAGCTTTTGGTAAACGTAAATGATCAGCTAAACCGCTAGCGTCAACATTTTATTCAAATATTGAACCTATAACGCGAAGGTATCGTGACAACGCCCAATGACAACGTAAATGAGTTACCGATTAGGATTGATCTTCCCTCAAAAAGAGAAATAACCAATGCAATAAAATTGCTGAAGAACGAAAAAGCTGTAGGTTTTGATAACATTCCGGCCGAATTGCTGAAAGTTGATTTAAAACTAATAACAGATACACCAACTCTTCGAAACCATTTCGGAAATAGAAACTTATCCATTCGACTGGCTTCATGGCATTGTAATCAAGTTACCCAAGAAAGGAGACTTAAGCGACAGTAACAACTGGCGCGGCATTACTATTTTAAGTTCTATGATAAAAATATTTATGAAATTTATTCTGTATCTGCTTTTCATCTATTTTGAAAAGGCGTTTGACTTGTTAAATTGAAATTGCATAAAAGCAGAGTTGAAAATATTGTCCCGATTAAAATAGTCTCCGTAATTGCAAAGAGCATTTTTACATGACAACAAACTGTCTGTGCCGTTTTGTACAATTTCTGGCATCCGTGAAGGATGTGTCCTTTCCCCAATACTGTTTTCAGTTGTGCTTGCCGTAGTGACCAAGAGGGCAAATAAAGAAAAGGTACGAGGTATTGTATGGGACTCACTGTCACCAAACACAAGGCTAGAGTGTTTGGACTATGCTGCCGTTTTGCAGTCCCTAGGAAAAAGAAGCAACATTGCTGATATTAAGGACGTAGCGTTGCGGCGCAAAAGCTGGAAGCAACTTATAGACAGCCTATGCCCAGTATAAGAGGCTGCTCGAAGTCATTGACGTTGAACAAAGCTTATTATATTATTATTACTAATCAAAACGACAATAGTTTTATGTACTCCGACCTTTCAATTATGACCGATCTTCTAAACTTTTAGACTGAAGTTTTTTTTAATTGCAAAACAAAAACCGCTTGAATTGTTTCATGGATCATTTGTTCCGTAAAAATCGTATGTTTTTCGATGGTTGACTAAGTGTATTATTGATTTAACAATAAGTATTATTAATTTCTTTTTTAAATGTAGGTCTTCAATGCTTATTTCATCTTCTTCAAGTAATCTCCCATTGATAATATACTCGTACATTTATTCCAACAAAGTTTTCAGTTCAAGAAACACTATTGGAATGTACTATTAAGCCAGCGTGCGATTTCGCTTACATCTCTTTTATAGTTGAAGGATATTATTATTTCAATGTCTTTATTAGTCTGTTTGTATATCTTTTAGAAACAGGGCACAAAATGTCATATTTAGAGATTAGGTTGATTATGGTGTAACAATAATGTTATGCTTTGCCATGATTGTTTAGATAATCAACAAATTTTGATGCCACTCGTCTCATGTCTAAAACGTTCTTACAGCTTCACATTAGTTGTATGATATTTTTTATTTTTGCAGAAACATCTCTAATGGAATGCTTTTATCAGTAAGCACAGTCTGTTAATTGCTTTCAAGTTTTCATGAACATATTATGATGCCTAGATTTAACCTCATTCTCAATGTCCACATTTCATTCCTGAAATCCATTATCATCGCCAAAGGCCTTATTCAACATTTCGATACTCCAGCGATTATTTACCATAGACTCTCTAATCTGACAAATTGCCACCCAAAAACGCGGCTTAATCTTTGTTCTCAATCATTCGGTCGGCATTGCAACTACCTGTTAGTTATCGGTACTCTAAAGACTTGACAAGATAGAACACATTTTAAAATTCTCGTTACTTTTTAATCAGACTTTTTGATTCGGTTACATTAGCAAGTTAATAAAATATCAAATAGAATATTACAATTATATACATAGTATAGAGAAAAACTATATGATATATAATATGCTTATTATATATACATATGTCATTTCGTACATTTTGTACGTCATTTCGAAATTTCTCCAGTGATTCTAATAATTTTTAAATATGTTCCTCTGTGCTAGCTCACCACAGTATTGTTATTTCACCAACAATTATATTAAATGATTAATATGTAAGTAAAATTATTTACAGATAACAAAATGTATCACCTACCCTGAGCTGGAGGCGCTAAAACAATTTTGAGCAATTATTTATGCATATGTGGGGTAATTTGAAAATGTTATTGATACGGATTTTTGTACGCAGACAGAACAAGATAAAGTTATATTGCTTATTCCCGGACAATATCGATTTTTACACCCTTCGTTTTTGGTTTGCAAAGGGTTCATCACTGTTATTATGACAATTGAAATGTACTGCGGAAAAGATTACAGATTTATATAAGCTACTGTATAGACTTGTAAATACTTAAACTTAATAAATTTAATGAAGGATAGTGATAAGTTATATTCGTCAGTCAATGTAAGTATACAGTAGGCCTAAAATAGTTTTAATAGTAAACAGCAGAGATACAGTAACTAAAATTACTGATATTGTATTACTACTAATATCTGATATATAATTTCTCTAAAAATTATATTTCTTATATTGCTGGTATTTTTCATCAATCTATTTTGTGAAGATTAATCAGTAATTCATAATATGTATTTATTTATTGTGTAAAATATTTTTAAATAAATTTCAATTATTAATAGTATTAAAGATATTAATTATATTAAATAAGACTTTATTTTAAATTAGACTAATTTGTCTCCGAGAGAATAATCTCTACGCTAAACTATTGAAAATTATTTCACAGCAATCGTTCAGCTTAAAGCTTTATATATACAGAACTACCCATTTTGGGGCCCCAAAAGCAAACACAAATTTAAACAATTCCGATTGTAATTTTAATGAAATTTTCAATTCAGTACATTAACCTAAACCTTGCCAAGACGTGTGATATATGTAGGTATATATTTGATGTTCCGACGATTCAGTAAAATTGTATAAAGTTGTATATTGTATATTGTCTAAAGTTGAAAATAATATCGGCGATAACTGTCCTGCATAGTTTTACAAAAACAAGTCCAATGATGATAACTTTTACATTACTTTGTTCACCAATTCACATCACCAACATGTGATAGTACACATCCGGGAAATATCCCGCTCAGCAAAGCATGCATGCTTTGCTAATGGCCTCATTCTAATAAAACTATATATACTTCATTTATATTTTCTAAAGTTCGCGTATAAAAAATTGATGATTGTGTAAAAATGGCGATCGTTTGTAAGTCATCTAGTCATTATCAACAAACTATTTGTAAGTCATCTAGTCATTATTATACTACAAACTACTACTATTAACTTACATATGTCCAGAAAAAATACCTTTAATTATTTGTTAATTTTTACTACCAAAGAGGTACAATTTTATCTACAAAGCAAAACACGAGCCTAAAACTTTCACTAAAGGATATTCAATTTGAAAACGCGTAGTACGAATAATTTTTGAAAAAAATTTTGGATGTAATATCTTGGATGAATTATGTCACTGAAATAGTGATGCTAAATCAGGACCACAAAATGAATAATTCTTTGTAAATTTAATAATGAATATTATTAAATTAAATAAATTTGATCAGTAATGATGCTAATGATCGAGCAATATATATATAGCAGGTGTAAAACCCCTTTACTACTACGATCGATATATTAATCTAACTGTGAACGTATAAAGTAAGTTAAAAATAACTCTTGTTCTATAGTTGGTATCGAATATAACTGGCTGTTGGTATTGTTACATCAATAAGTATACCTTTAAGTTACTGCATATGTAAAGATCCAAAACAATTAGCAAAACAGTGAACTCGTCAAGAAAGCGGTCTCTATGCCAGTGATAGTGCGTAAACGTAATTGTGGATCGACAGATGAATATGAGAGAAGTCAAGCGAACA